CTGTAAACTAGCCTCTCCACTGCCCGAAAACTCCCTGCTAAGAAGTGCTTCTTCACATTGAACTCTTAAGACATGAGAGTCAGAACTCTCATACATATGTCTTAAAATTCAAGGCATTTCAGAAAAATAAATTGTTGATGAATGTCTCTCACAGTACATCATGTACATGGAACTTAACTGACTCAATGCCTCCGAGTCGCATGACATGGCCTATGCTAATCAGCTGACGCAGCCTTTTTTATTAGTCAATGCAGATTTATTAGTCATGCAAGATGACTCACTATTACTCAACTAATAAACATGAGCTTCTCCTGCATCGTCTTATTGAAACTATCGGCCATGCACATCATGTGCCGCGGCATTCTGTGCAATCAGTTATGGAACATTTGCAGTGAAAAAATGGTGTTTGTGAAAATAAAATAGAAAAAAAGAAGCCATTGAATAAATTGAGTAGACTTAAAGCAAAGCTCATGAGAGACATTTCTCACAAGAGACATTTCTTCCAACCAAAGTGAGTCGATTTCAGCAACACTAATTCGTCGCTGCCTCTGCGGACAAATCACACACAGGACTACTCGGAGTGCCAAGTGTGTATTCCCTTTTTCAATCCATTGTGTCACTAGTTTAGAGATTCCAAATAACTGTTTTAATTATTCACAGAGCAAGCAAAATGACAAGCCCCTGCCTGAATCATCACTGCTAACTTTGAGCATTGGGATTAGAAGAGGAATGTCAGAATGAGACGTTTCTGAAATTTGCAGTGGCACTTCATTTATAAAGTGCCTGCTCAATAGTCAGTGAGAAATCTGACTGCCGAGCAGGATGGGAGCGAACACCGCTCGGAAATTCAATCAATTCCCAGACTTGATTTAAGGCACCATGGCTTAGTCACGATCGAAAGGATGGGTCGTAAATTTCATCCGGTTGGTGCCGTGCATTCAGAAACTTGTTAGCATGCAGTGTTGCCTTATTTCGCATAGTAATAAGCAGCAAGCTGCATGTGTAAGGCCTTGTTACGTGTTCTGAGCTGGCGAGATCATTACAGCGATGTTTTTCCATTCGCACCGCCTGAGGTGTTACTGTGAGCGATTAGTTTGACCTTGGATAGAGCTGTGGAATCGCAAGGCGCCTCCGCTATCTCGTCTGTTGTGAGATTTCACAGAGAAAAACACACCAGAATAAAAGAGTCATGAAAAAGCGGCTCAACTTGGTGACGGCTCACAATTACGGGCCTATGTGCATCTCATTATCTGCTCCAAAGGAGAACACAGGAAAGCATCGTTTTACTCAGGCACTTTCTTATAAATGTGCAGCCAGTCAGCGTGCTGTGATTGTTCTCAAGGTCTTCATGTGACAGAGTGAAAAAAACACTCCCCCCCCCCACCCCCCAGCAGAAAGGGATGATACTACTGTGATGTGATGTTACTCATACTGTGTGGAAACTAAAGTGGAAAAATCACTGGCTGAACATGATGTACCTGATCAATATGTCCCGCAATTTAGCCGGGGCTGGCACACATCTAAAAACTAACAGAGAAACAAAGAAGCCCTCAAGTACAGAAAGCTATGCACACACACATCGAAACAGCACACAGAAAGACTTAACTTCCATCAGTGTCCAAGGACAAGGCAAAGGAAAATGATCTTTTACTAAAAAAAAAAATCACTAGTAAAACATTAGGGCCACAGGATTTGAACATAAATTATTTCATTTGAATGTTTTAACCATGTCTTTATTTCAGTGGGTTTATTATAAGCAGCCAGTTCTATAAAAACATGGGAAATTTATTTTGGTAAGTTTCTTTTAATAAATTAAAATGAAATCAATAAATTAAGAAATTTCACAGTTTAAATTGAAAGTACTTTTGCAGGCAATGCATGCATCCAGAGTCCGTGATCTTCTGCAACACCCATATGTACGAAACAGACACTCCCATCTCTGTAATAATCACAGAGATGTTAGTCCTGTCCAAATCTAAATATATATGTCACGCTTCAAAGGTGGAGACGGATGCAGGTGCATAATTTCAAACATTTAATAAGGAAACAAACAAAATACACAAGACATTAAGACAAAATTCTGGCTAAGGCAAAACACAGCAACAGAGACAAAGGTATTATAAGACAAATGTGAGACAAAGACAGCAGTGAAAACTGTTGCTATGTACACACATGCGTGATCGTTAACCAGAAAGTGATTCAGGTGCAGGTGGTCATGTGACTGATGAGTACAGTGCAGTGGCTGCTGGGAACTGAAGTCCAGAGTTCTTTCTCTGATACCTGACACTATAACTCAAACTACGTTGAGAAAACTAGTCCCATCCGAACAGGGCTTATGACTGATAATTAACATTAAAAAGTATATAAGTTTTCTGTGAGGGGACTTTATTTAACGTTCATGGAAGAAGTCATTCGATAAGAAGCCATGAACAAAAACTACGTTGGAAACACATTTTCAGAATAAATTCCTAAAGTCATGTGATTTTGGCCCCCAAAAAATCCCGTATTGGATAATTGGCTGATGTGAATGGATATTCAGAGCATGCAGTCAACTTATACTGGCAATGTGTTTTTCTGTCGGAACTGGGTCACGGTGGGTCGCATCACAGGACTAACCAGTGCACAGCATCTCAAATGTTGTTTTTCAAAAGTCAGTTTCCCCTGAACAGTTTCCCCTGAACAACAGTTTCCCCTGAAGTGACGATTTTGTTCTCTTGAACACATGGGATGGAAATGGTGCTTTATTCGCAAATGTTTTATGCGATATTCTGATTTTTCGCAAAAGTTAAATTCACAACGTGGACGAAAACATGACTAATGGTAGGTCCACTCAGTCCATGAGCTCCACTTCCCAGAACACACCTCGGCCTACGTACATGAACGCCCCAGAACCCACTGCTGCTAACCTGCTCCTAATCACCAGACTTTTGATTACATGCACCTGTCCCCAATCACACATACACACACAGAGAGCTTAAAAGAGCCTCTCACTCATGAGCTCTGCAGAATAAATGCTTAGTTTGTGCATCTGACTTTTACTGAGCTGTTTGGTTCAGTGCAGTGTAATCCCAGTAACTTGACTTTTGCTATCTTCCTGGTTTGGTGTTGTCTTTGCACAGTGAATCCTGTTTGTAGATCGCCTGACCCAAGCCTGTTGCTGATCTTGATCTTGCCTGATGTTTTGATCTCTCATTAAAAAGATTCTTTACATCTGCATCATTCCTCCATTTCATGACACACAGCATGATATATAACACATTAATCAATAAAAAAAACTTTAATCGCTGGAAAAATTGCTGTTGTATAGCATTAATAAAACTCAGTAGCTCATCACACCACTGTGTTGTTGATTACTTTCTTATAACATCACACCTCCAAATGTTTTATTCCTTAATTAACACCTGTAACTTGGTTGTGCTAAAATGCACACACAATCTCTGCTCCCAAAGTGACTTCAGGCTGCATTAATTCACAATGCAGGTGCTAAACTAATCTATTTGCATTAATTTTGCACTGTATTTTGCATTTTTAGGTAGAAACGGCCCAGATTGCATATTCATTAAGGCAAACGTGCAAAATGGGCAAGATGTTTTATTTTACTCATATGAAAGAATCAAGCCTCTGTAGACTTAGGAAAGCTGAAATTTTTACAAGTGGTTTCTAGTTATTTTTCATGGGTTTCCCCCCAACACACATAAACCTCATAAAATCAGGACCAACTAATCGTACCATATAGAGTGGATATACAATTACTGACTGTAGCCCATCTCTTTGCCATTGAACTATTTGCCATTCAATATCCAGTGTAGGACCACAAGGACCTCAGATTTGAGGTCTATTTATGGTATATTTTGAGGTAATTTGTGTGTCTGTGTGCTAATTTAAGTGTATCAGTTGGATCAGTGTTGCTAAGCTACACTTGCACTGCTTGGTTTGAAAAATTCCACCAAACAGAAATCTCCAGCCTAGTCAGAAAATGACACAGATGACGTCCTATATAATGATTAGCACACGCTGTACACCTACATGTTGAACTAACAAAGCAATAAAGAGGAGTGCAAGTTGTTTTAAATATTTTAAATCCCCAGCAACCCTGTAGCACATGATACACTAATAACAGCACTCAGTAGGGACTTTAAGCATTGATGGCTGCAGAGACTGCTACAATGGTCAGAATTAAATCTGTGTCTACGGCGTAGCCATGGAAACCAAAATGGTTAAGTAAAGCAGAGCTCTAATGTTTTGGTGAAAGAAATTATCATGAAAAAGCAAGAGGAGATTTGCTTTCTGCGTTAGAAGATAAGTTCATTTCATAGGAAGAGTTTGTACAGTAGTATGATGTCAACAGATCTGTTAACTTCGATTGTTGGATTTGTGGATTCAATGGGTTAAATTATAAGTGTCTTTGACTAAATTCCTCTGAATTCATTAGTAAATAAATACGATAGACGAACTGTAAGCAGGAAGTGGCGAGTCAAATTTTACGCATATGCCATACAGCTTGGTTTTCTACATCATATTATAAATTCCCTACTGAAACTGGACCACATCCTGAATAGTACCTGGTCACTAGTGGTTCTGTGGTTCTTTTCCACTGATGGGCTACAGTTAGTAAACCTATAAAATGATCTACATGGTGGGTGAAGCTGATAAAATAGATGTAAAGTAGGTGTACTTTATAAGAAGCATTACCATTTCCTCAGTGGATAATCTTAACGATCCATTCATCCATGTATCCATGTTCACTTATCCTACACAGGATCAAGAGAGAGAGCCTGGAGCCTATCCCAGGGAACTCAGGGCATGAGGCAGTGGGGTACCCTGGATGGGCTGCCAACCGATCGCAGGGCACAATCGCACACATACTCACACACTATGGACAAATTGGGAAAGCCAATCAGCCTACAATGCATGCTTTTGGACTTGGGGAGGAAACCGGAGTGTCCAGAGAAAACGCCAAAAGCACATGGGAGAGCATGCAAACTCCACACACACACACAGGGCAAAGGCAGGATTCGAACCCCAACCCCAAAGGTGTGAGGCAAACATGCTAACCACTAAACCACTATGCCCCTAATCTCAACTAGATACTGAAAATTTGTACCCAAGTACAGCTGCTGTAAACGTATGGACAGTATGTCCATCCTAGGATTCTTATTCACAACTTTTGAACACATACAAACGATTCTAAAAGAGTAATGATTTACAATCACATGATCCTGTGTCATCCAGAAGAGGACAGGTTCCCTCTTGAGTCTGGTTCCTATCAAGGTTTCTTCCACAGATCATCTCATGCAGCTTTTCCTCACCACTGCCACATCTGGTTGCGCATTATAGAAGTAAGCCTACATCCGAACTTATAAAAAGCTCCTTTGTGACAAAGGCACTTGTTAAATACACTATCCCGATAAAACTGAATAATAAACTGTTGTCTCAGAACTACCTATATGCATGCCTGAGACAACATCTGCTCGTAATGTTCCTTAAAATAGCTATGAACAACTTTATACTGGTGTAAAATTCACACATTATAGGGGCCGTGATGCTGCAGATGGAGACGTGCAGTAATGCGTAGGTGGTCATATAATTGCAGGCTTTCATCTTGTACAGATCGTGTGCTGATACCTTCCCACACCTTCCATATGCATCTGAATCACTCATTATCAGCTGTGCAGCAAACACATGAATATTTACAACTAAACCATTAAGCAAGTAAACAGGAGCATCTAAATTTTCGTTTTCCACAGGCAGAGTGGTGCTCACAATTTACATGCTCTCATAATTCCTCCATAGTTTGTTTAGCATGGGTAAAGTATAGTTAATGTGGGATTTATTTGTGCGCTAAGGTTATGTTCACGTCTACAGAGCAGGATAGGAGGGAGTTAGTGTACAGTCTGGTGCTGCTACATGTTGTCTTTTTGTCTAATTATTCCTAATGTATATTAGCCATTTGTATTATTATTACTATAGTGCATAATTATTATTTATACACTGAATAATAATTCCCCCCAACCCCCCAAAAAACAAAAAAAAACAACAACAAAAAAAAAACTCAGACATACATTATATGTGCACACTTTTCTCCTAATCCCAAATGCGGTCAATCAGCTTGGTGTCATATGTTTCGGAGCTATAAGGCTAATGCTGCTATCAAGTAAGGGAAGCTAATGGCTACCAGTTTAGAACGATGCCATGTCTAAATCATTACACACACGCTACTCAAATCACACTCAATATTTCTGACAGAATATGACAGTGTTTCCTATAAACATGCTGTTTAAAAAAAAGATGAAAAACTTAAAAACTGTCGTAGCTCTATCTTGAATGCTGATCATATTTTTCTTTAGCACATATAGCATCAAACTCGGGGTAGGAGGCATATATTATCCAATATGAGATGGTAAGGCAAACACATTAGAGAAAATCCAGATTTTTTGGGGGGAAAACATTTTTGTCCTATGAGAGCTTTGTTCAAATTGATGTATTAAGGAGACTCACTAATATGAACCTTGATTGAGTGACTGTATAATTCTCAACTAGTTAATGCAATTTTATATATGGATTACTCGGTCATGATTAAATCACTCATTTATTTCAATTACACACACAAATGAACTTGGATGATTCATTTTAAAGACATGAAAAACAAACAATCCAAAACAAATCCAGAAATGAAGACCAACAAGACTAGACATTCAAATAGAAGGGTACCCTATAAAAATGCGAAAGAGTTAGGGTGTTTACGATGGCCAATGTTTAGTCTTAAGAGCTCTTTCACTCTGTACTTGCTTCAAAGACCAAACATGTCATGACTGATTTCACAGCATTTGTGTAAGGGTGACAATGTGTCAATTGTATTAATTTTGGGCTGAGCTGTTCCTTTACGTTTCATGAAAACAATTCCACTGAGTGGAGAAGAAGAAAAAAAAAGGCTGTTCTCATACTGGAAATGGTTCTTGTGGTTTAGAAAAGCACTGATAGCATCTTCAAGACTTCTATACACAGAAGCTATCAAAGAAAAATAATAAGGCATATAAGAAATAAATGAAACAGCACTTCTTTTGGAAAAGGAGGGCTACTTCATTAACCCTGTGTGTGTGTGTGTGTGTGTGTCTGTGTGTGTGTGTGTGTGTGTAAGAGAGAGAGAGAGAGAGTGTTATGGGTTTGTGAAGAAGTATCTAACACTAACGATCTGCTCTAGTAATAGTGGGTCTTTCTAGCATTAGTGCCTAACTGGGCTATGTGTTCAGTAGCTGTACCTTGTGTTTCTCGGGTCGAGTCCAAGAAGCCTGCAGAGGACACACATAAAAAAGGAAAGAGAAAAGGGAACAACAAACAAAGCCTTAAAAATGACGTATCTGCCACAGGTTTTAAAGATAAACCACTCACAGCTTGTGTGCAACTGAGCGGTATGAAACATTGGGCAACATAAAATAAAACACTGGAAAGGAAAACAATACTGTGCTCTCATTATATGGTTCAAAATGTTCAATGTTATTCAATTGAACTATGCAACATGGCATGCTTTATTCATTCTGTTTGTTTAGAGTTGTTCAAGGTCAAGGAGAGCTGTAGTATCCACTTAGTAATTCGCCTAACTATACTAGTCTCTCTAGGACAAGGCCATTCAATCCCTGTCTCTATTCATTTACCTGCTGTTTATCAGGCAGGATGGATTTTAGTTCTATCATCCTTTTCATGCTAAATAAATGAAAAGAACTTCTTCTAAGTAGCAGTGGGGTGAGTGAATGCTTAGATCAAGGCTATTTGTATGTGTGCCTGTTAAATGTTTCAAGAGGAAGTATAATCTAAACAAACTTCAAACCCATCGATTGTTTATGTCTTGGGTGTAACAAGAATACTGATACAATGAGTTATTGAATTAAAAAAAATCCCTTTAGAAAGATAGAAGGATTCATCATCCTAATCATCCAAAGAACTTCTGCGGTACCCTTTTCTTTCTTTCTTTCTTTCTTTCTTTTTTTCTTTTCCCCTTGTTTTTTCCTCCCATTTTCTTCCTAATTTGGTCTTGGCCTATTCCCACCCATCAGCCAGTGCTCCCCATCATACCACAGCTACTAACCAGGGATAGTGAACACTAACAAGTGCTTCCTCTGAGACACATGAATACAGCCAATTACATATTTTAGTTGTGACAAAGAGCAGTGTAACACACTCAGAGGAAAATGTTATCGGCCCTCTTCCACATACATGAGCTCACAGACATGCACAATTGGCTATGTTCACTCTGATTATTTCATCAGTAACTCAAACGGATCAAAAAATAAATAACCAAAAAAAAAAAAAAAAAGAACCAAAAAGAGTTAAGTAAAATATTGGAACTGTGAAGAAATCTTCTAATGGAACCCCTTCACAAAGCAAGACGTTTTATTCATCAAAGAAACCCTTCAGAATTTTTTTTTTCAAAGAATTTGATCGGTAGCAAGAGCCAATGATGTGATGGTCCTGGAGTGACTAGATAATTTGCGAATAATTCGAACAAATTCAGAATAACATCACTGCAATTAAAAAATATATTAACGACATTAAATAACCAAGAATTTATCAAAGCAAGAATTAATATTTTTACTCGCAATTGTAATGAACTAAACAGGAACTACACTGTAGTCTCGGGACAGTTGATGAGCTTATCGAGAATTGTCGATAGATTCAAACTATCGTGATGGTTATCAAATCAGATGACGGGGTAGTGGTGGTTTGGTGGTTAAGGCTCTGGGTTACTGATTGGAAAGTTGGGGGTTCAAGCACCAGCACCGCCAAGCTGCCACTGTTGGGCCCTTGAGCGAGGCCCTTAAGCGTCTCTGCTCCAGGTGCACTGTATCATGGCTGACCTGCGCTCTGACATGTGAAGAAAATAATTTCACTGTGCTGTAATGTATATGTGATCAATAAAGACTCATTATCATTAACTGTCTGTCAGAAAACATGGTATCTGCAGCTTTATAATGGACGAAAATTAAGTATATTTAAATTAGTCTGCATTCAATATGTATATAAATTTGGAGCAGAGCAGCACAGCATCTTTCCCTGACAACTGCTGCTGTCACCATAGAGCACATACATGTACAATTTATATAATAATTTAAAACTTGTAATGAGCTTAGTTACAGCTTAGAACTGATTACAGTACAATTTGTAAGCATCCTTGACCTTGTTAACATGGGATTAGGAACCCCCCCCCCCAAAAAAACAAAAACAAAAAACAAAAAACAAAAAACAAAACAAAACCATGACTAAACACTACCAATTGCAGCTACAGCTGTATTGTGACCAACATACAGTATTTTTTTGCAATGTAATGACGTGACTTGTACACAACATGTGTTACATTTGTCTGGCCACACCCCCTTCTTCCCCCCCACTCAAGCCACAGGAAATATTATCATCAATTGGTGATCATTACGGGGTATTACAGGATGATCTCACAACTACTACACTGCTAATACTATTACTAACAAATCCACATTTGAGTAGCTACACACTCAGAATAAATAGCTAAAATTATTATACAGTGTAAAGGTATTTCACATCTTGCGCAGAATCATGTCTTTGATGATGTCCTTGTGCTCTGAACATGCAGCAGAATTTGACTTTGGATAATAAAATATCTTTTCAAAGCAAGAAGCACAGTCTGTATTTTCACACCAAGCATCGGAAAACCTTCCAAAGCTGACCTTCAAACTTTAATTACAAGAGGTCCAGATCCTAGAGGTCCTAAATGTTTGTGGAACTAGTTGTAGTCCTCTGTAAAACCCTTTGATTCATCTTCTCCCAGAGCAGCTTGACTGTGTTAAGGTCAAATGGATGGACAGGATGTTCCAGCCAACCATGCGTTCCTCCTGTCTAAATATCTAATATTTCTTTTCTGGGAATGTGTGGGTTGTTTGAAAAAGAAATGTTACTTGGAAAATACCAAATTCTTGTCGACCAAGATGAGTCAGCAAACTCCCTAAATACAGCAGATGTGATGGGGCCACTCAGTGATTAACCATTAACCAAATTATTTAAGGAAGAGAGATTTTCCAATGCTGCAACCGGAATATCTATCGGC